TACGGGGGTATAGCGGGGTCCCCGCGCTGCTGCCGGGGGCTCTGAGTGTGGGGGCTGCTGGCGGTGCCAGTGCCGGGCCGGCCTCCCTGAGGAGCCGCGGGAGGAGGAAGTGAGGAAAACGCCGTTCGTGAGGCTTCGCCGCGGTGGCAATAGGTCGTGTGCTAGGGAAGGTAGACGGGGGTGTTCCTGCGCTTCGGCTGCAGCCCTGAAAGCTCAGCTTTACCACCGAGAGAGCGGCTCAGCCCTGCTGGCGTTCAGGTTTCTGACTCCGCTGTGAGGCCTGGCGTAGCTGATGCCGTTGTGCTGGCGCCTCAGCCAGAGGTGCGTGGCTGGGGCAGGAGGGGCTGTGCGTTACCCAGCTGACCCCAATACGCTGGCGGAAATGAGAGCGTATGTTCACTTTTCCTAGCTTAAGCTGTGTGGTGCCACAGCTGTGGCACTGGCTCCTAAGCTAGCTAGTTCAGAGCTAGTTGTGCAGGCTGGGCTTTGTGCCGCAGCGCGGCCAAGGGTTGCCGATAAGGCATGTGGCCCTTTTGACAGCATTTGTGAAGCACAATTTGTTGCAGCCTAAGTTGAAGCGTGCCAGCTAATTTTGTTCGTGCTGCTAAACGTTCATAGAATGGTAATATCAATTGCCCGAAGATACAGTGGGATTTGAAAGAATGATTCAGAGTTCTTGATTTTGTGTTCTTACCCCTTTCTTTTGTGTTTCTCACCAATACTGAGGAACAGAGATGTTCCCAAGCTGCTTCTGTGTAAATGATTCTTTTTTAATTTGACTTTTCAGCAACAAACAACAAATACTGTAGAGGAGCCACTTGATCTCATCAGACTCAGTCTAGATGAGCGAATCTATGTTAAAATGAGGAATGACAGGGAACTTAGAGGCAGACTACATGTAAGTAGAACACTTTCACAGTACTACAATGCTTGTTTCATGTACAGCAGCCTTCATAATATTACAGGCAAACTTATATAATAACTAGTTTAAAAGCACATGTAACTATCTTGTGATTAAAAGTGCAGAAGTGGTTAGAGAAAGTAAGTTAAAGGTCGTCTTACTGACGGAGGTTGGTCCTCTTTTCTCAGAAGCTTTTTTTGTGATGACAGTAGCAAAATCTAATTTTTTCAGTATTCTGTCTGCCATAAAATGCTGCTCTAGAGACTCAAGAGGTGTATTTGTTTTTTCTTTCTTAGTCCTCTGGATAACACTGACCAATTCATTCCACTGTTTTTGGCCTTTGTTTCTATGTTTATGAAATGAGCATAATGACGCAGATGCCCTCTTGTAAAGCACATTGAGGTCTATTTAAGATTGAAATAAGAATGAGATTATCATTATCAAACAAATGACTGTTAAGCTACGCCTAATAAGGATACGATGGGATATGTTCTCAACTTGATTCTCTGCAAATCTGACTTGTTTAAGTGCATTCTTTTCTGATAGTGGTGTATCACTTAATGAGAGAGTTTTCTTTTTCTGTTAAGCCAGTCATCCTTCCTGAGTACTTTACTGTGTTGGGGAAGATAACCAGTTGTCCCATATATTAACCAGGCCCCAACTCATTTGGGACCTCAATGATGAGGACATATCCATGAAGATCTGGTTATAGTAATTTCTAATATGGTTTTGGAAGGTATTTGGAACACTTTTGTAAAATTTTTGTTGTGGCTTTCAGTTTTTGTGGGGCTTTAAGTTAGCCCCAGATAATCAATCCCAGGAGGCTGGATTGGTGGCAAAGAATGTATAGCTTGTTTAATGTCAATAAATGACAAGGATAAATATATCTGTCAGAGTTTTTGCATGCATTCTCATTGAAAGCTTCAAAGCCATTTCCTGGAAGAGCATTTCTGTGAATATAAAGGCAGTGGGTTTTTTCATGCTGCAGAGTACTGATTTGTCTGCCTTTATATTTGAAAATTTAACTATAACTAATACTACTTTGCTTTAACATAGTGGCACGCTTCCATCAAAATTCTCGTTTTAATGAGCTTGTGTTTGAACTTTGTAAAAATAATAATGAGCTTCATTCCTACAGGCATATGATCAGCACCTAAATATGATTTTGGGTGATGTTGAAGAAACTGTAACAACAATAGAGATTGATGAAGAAACCTATGAAGAGATTTATAAAGTAAGGAGTTCAGTGTATTTATCGAAGCAGAAAGATGTGTGGTGGTGGTGGTGGTGTTTTTTTTTTAAACTAAACAATGTTATCTGTTTGAAATAGGCTATTGCTAGTACTTATTGGGCCAAGCTCTGACAAAAGTTTCAGGCAGATTCTTATGAAAGTATGAAGTGTCCAAAGACTTAGTATTAATTGTACTGATCTCTTCAGTATGCCAATAAGTTGCAAAGTCAAGCTTACTTTTGTTGGAGTTTTCTGGTGTTTTTTATGATTGAATTTGGTCACATACTTATCAGATGTGTTCTGTCAACTATACTTTTGTAAATGTAAACTTTTCTTTCCTTCTTCTTAGTCTACCAAAAGGAATATTCCGATGCTCTTTGTCAGAGGTGACGGCGTTGTGCTTGTAGCTCCCCCGTTGAGGGTTGGCTGAAGCAACAAAGGATTTAACCTTGTTGGAAGGTTTCAGGCTTTTGGACAATGGTTCCTGTTTCGATCACGCATCTTGAAATTTTGTGTGCATTTTTATAGGATGTTTTTGTCTGTTCTTTTGGGAAGGGGAGGGAAGGGCAGGGGAGGGGAGCCAATTTGTCTTACTGAAAGTACATGTAATCAGTTGAAGTGGTGTAAAACAACCTGATTTTCCCAGAATTAATGTAACTGCTCTAAGTCGGGCGTCTGTCACATCAGTAAAAGAATCTTTCAGTTTTGCGATCTTGGCAATTGCAGTGTCTTAAATTTTTTGTTTTAAATAAATTTGGTTTATCTTTCAGATTTGACTTGTCATGTTTTTATGTTGAAGAGATTGTACTTATGTACTTCTATAGAACTACTACATTAAGTGGTAGTACACAGCCTTACTTTCTGAGAAAGGAGTAATTTTTTGTGGGCGGTGTTAATCTTTGCCCTTACTAATACCTGGGTCTGGCAGATTATGACCTTTTGAGGGCAATACTGTATCAATCTACAGTGCTATCGTTTTTGGCTGTTCTTTGTCTGAATCCTGCATATTCTTGTAGCACAGAAGTTGTATCTGTATGTATCTTCCACTTACAATATGTAAAGATTTTTTACAATGTTTTAGATATTTTTATTGCGGCTTTGTTAGCAGAGTAATGGTATGCAATACTCTTAAGTAGAGAAGGAGGATGTTGCGTAGCATGCCGTTGTGTTGCTTGTTGCATTTGACACTGTCTGTAGCCCACTTCAGTTCTTGAATACATTAAATTCTGCAGAACGCTTAAGATGCTCATTAGTTATCTCTAGTGAAGGAGCACTAGAAGCCTGAACAAAGCTATTCTTAATGTACAATTTCTCAGGCTTGTGCGGCTTGCAGTTTCCCTTCTGTTATTTATGGAGAGAAGGTCTGAATAAACTTAGGGCATGAAATACTTTTAAGTACATGTTTGCAAGATAGACTGAAGATGTAGATTTATCATGCAATAGGATCTTAACTTATAACTTAAATTTAATTTATTTAGCTTTTTAGGCATGCTCTGTATGGTTACCAAAAGCACCTGTTCTGGCACTTTCTCCTACAGTTAAACTCTTCCTAACTCAAAATATCCATTGCTGGTGACAAGGGTGAGGAATGCAAGTTATACCTTAGTAAGTCCCAAGCAAAGTTCTTCTTTGGCAATAAAATACATACCCTTGAAAGCTGTGCGTGTGCTTCTTTCCCGCTGAAATAAGGAGAGCAGGGACCACTACAAAATCTGCTTTGCGTTCCAGGTGGCATCTGTACTCTGTTTTCATGCGACGTCCTCTAGCAATGTCCTCTAGCATTGGGATAGATGCGCCTTTAAAAATAGGAGTGATAGCTGAAGCTGAAATAGTGATGCTTTTGCTGAGAACTAACGTATTAATAGCAATTATTTGTAATGGTTTATGGGTGGGGTTTATTTTGGTCATGTGGAGACCAAAGAGCGTATTCCTTGTACCACATCCTAGAAGGAACAACAAGTTACTCCAGTCCTCTATACATGCAAGAATTTTGTGCATCTTAAACTATGCATGATGCTGTTGCGTAGGTCCTTTTTATGCAAAGAAGAAATTACCTGTAGAGCTTACTATAGTAGGGTTTGAATGAAGAGCCGGTATGCAGTGGCTTTGTAGTAGGCTCTCCTCCAGTATGCCATCCTTGCTTGAAGGTGATCTGGGCTAAGGTGAAAACACTTGCAGTCTGTGATCCATATCTCATCAGTTCCTAGTATGCTATCTCTGCGGGAGTCATCTTGCCTTTAGCTCCTGTACCAGGTGTGCATCACCCTGGATGCTGGAAACAAGCTACTGATGCTAAAACTTGTTCTTTTCTGGAACAGGTACAATGATGACTGTACTGAGATCCTTTTACCTCTTACCACTCATTGTAGGGAAGCCAGAGTAAATGCTTAGGGAACAGAAGAAGAGTGGGTGAGCAAGTAGTGATAGTCCCCCAGCTCCTAGGGATCTGCAGATCTGGGGAAGGAGGGATAGATTTTCCCTTACGCTAATTTGCCTCCTTGCTCTTAGGAGTCTGGTAAACCTCTTGCCATGTACGGTTATGGTATGTCGTGGGCTGAGCACATGGTCTCTGAAGAAGTACTTCTGATTTTGGGTTTGGTTGTTAACTTGCCCCTTTTACTTTCATGTGATGCCCCTTGATTCTGTCCTAGAAACATGTTATCTCGGTAGTACTTGATGAATACACATTTACCTTTTCATCTTTTCTATGCTAGTCCTAATTTTATCACATAGGGCCCTTGAGTTGTCTCTTTTCCAGGCTGTAAAGAGATTTTTTTTTAATAGCTTTTGATGAAAGCTGCTTCACGTCTTTTGCACTATGATTTTTATATTGGAGGACTGACGTGATATACAATGTGTGGGTACTTCATGAACTTCTGTATTGATTACATTTAACTTTCTAGTAATGTCTTGATAACTCTTACTCTTTGATTTGTACTTTTGATGCTTCTGAACATTAACCTGAAGTTTAAAAAGAACTGCATTAGCTCCAACATCTCTTTTGTGAATGGCAATACGGAATTCAGAGCCTATCATCGTTATGTGAGCTTAGGGCTATTTTTTTCTCAGGTATGTCACTTACATTTTATTTTCATTGTATTTGGCCTTTTTATTTCCTGGTTGTTCAATAGGGAAAAGTCCTTTTGCAATGCTTTGCTGTTATCATCTTTTTATTTTTACAATCCGCAATAGTAAATTAGCAGTAAACTGTCTCCTCACTGTTTGCCCCCTCTTTCCAGAAGACTTATGAATGTTAAACAAAATAGATTGTAGTACAAATTGTGTGGAATTCTCCTAGCAATCAGTGTGAAGACTGACCATCTATTCTCACTGTTCGTTGTCTCTTAACTAATTATCTATCTGAAGACTCTTTCCTCTTCCCCTACTGCAGCTTAGTTTTTCAGGGCATTGGTGAGAGTCCTTGTCAGTTGCCTTTCAGAAATCCAAGAGAGGATATCTGTTAATGACTTCTGTGAGCACCTTCAGAGAAGGTAATAGAGATGTGAGATATAAATTCCCTTTATTTGAGCAGTATTTGCCAGTGTTACACATTTATCTATGCATCCAGTAATTCTGTATTATCAACTATAGGCATATCTGAGATAGAGGTCAGACTTAGTGGTCCACAGCTCACCTGAGTCTCTCTAGAACCCTTTTTAAAAACCATCTCATTTGTCACCTTCTGTTTCTCTGGAAGTTTTAAGTGAGAGGTTATGCATAATGGCTATTAGTTCAATTTTTTTTCTAACAGAGTTCTTGGGTGTTTACTGTCTGATCATAAGAACTGTTGTTATTTATCTTGCCGAATTGTCCGGTAACATGTTTTACTCGCTTTCCAATTTGGAATGAGTTCTCCAGTGAAGGAGCCAGCCTGCACTTCACCATAAATGTGGATTTAAAAAAAAAAAAGCGCTTCTGCTGTAGTTGTGTTTTTTCTGACTGTTCTTTCTATTCTTTGATCATCTCTTGGCCTTACTCTGTCAAGATTTCTACTCCTAATGTGTTTGAAAAAGAATTTATCATTAATTTCTTTATGCTTCTTGCAAGATTTTTTTCAAATGCCTTTTCAGCCTATTTTATGTTTTTAGCCTGCCAGAATTTTTTCTAGACTCAGCTTCTTAAAGGGTTCTTTTTATTTCTGGTAGGCCTCTGTTTGTGCCTCTCTAGTCGTGCTTTTGGACTGCATCTTTTTGATAGGTGGCAGAGTACCTTTCCAGTTTATTGTCCTTTAAAGAATTTTTGCTCTGGCTGCAAACACTTGACTCTCAGCAGCTCCCTTCCACCCTCTCCCCGCCCTATTAATTCTCCCTCTCTTTTTTTTTTTTTCTTTTTCTTTAGAAGTAAGTGCTGGTATAGTTGGGCTTTTTAAGTGTCAACTGCCTGTGAAATTACCACGTGGATTCATTTTGATTTTTTCGAATCTCTAATTCATGTAGAGCACTAGATGGTGCTGTGTTTCCTCTGGTTCAAGCTTGGCTTGCTTTGCCTTGTATGTAGCCTGTGTCAACAGGCCCTGTAGTTTTACAATTAGTCATTTATTTTTAATTAGGATGGCACTTGCTGACAGTTTTGAATCAACTCTGCTGCTCACCCATAAGTAGAAAGCAAAATGTTTGGATGTTTATGTAGGCACAGACCAAGTCCCAAGAAGAGTTAAAGTAATGTCTCTTGTATTGTCATATTCAAAATGCATGAAACCTAGGCTAGCAGTTTTGTTAATGGCATTAGCTGAAGTAGTATAGCATTTAGAATAAACTGTCGTTAACAGCGTTGCTGCTGAGCACTGCTTGCAGATGAACAGCACGTTGTGTATGCGCTATACAAGACTGCTTCTCTGCCCATTGATCCGAGTGCTATATGTATGACTGTCCAATAACTTCACTGGAGAACTGCACCCCTGAAGTTAAAATTCACCCAGGAAACGGGCTGCATGTATGAATATATGTCCATTAAACTCTTGAAGTGACAAGTATCTCAGTTTAATTTTTGTCGCTAAACCTGTTCTCCTTCTGAATCTCTGGAAATGGCTTTTTGATCCGATCTACCTATTTGAACAAAATGGTAAGGCTCAACCTTAAATGTTCAGTTCATAACTTTGTTCTAGTTCATGTTTAGTTAAACAGAGATTACATTCTGTGTTTCATATCTGTCCTCTAGCACAGGACAAGGCCAGGGTTTGGATAGTAGATTACAGTAAGACTTGAGCAGCGTAAGCCAAGGGTAGACTTCTGCAGAGACTCGGACTTGAAAAAGCAGAATAGTATTGTTCATGTTAGAATTCTGCAACAGGACGCCACTATCTTCTCCTGGTGTTTCTGTTCCTGTTCTATAGGCTTTAGAAAGCTAAGATTTGAAATGTTTAAGAGAACGAAGCTAGTAAGCCCTTAGAATTCTTATTAGCGCTAGAGCACTGGGAAGGGAGCATGATTCAGTGCAAGATGACAAACGTTGTGCATTGTTTTTTGGACTGTTGATGACATGTACAGAAAGTCCCATCAGGCTTATTAAGGTTTAAGGCATTCATGCCAAGATCATCGATGGGCTGAATACATCATTATTGAGGGTGTAGGACTCCAGTGTTTCTAAACAGGAAGCTGCTTTCATATACTAAACAAAAAGAATGGAAAAGAAAAATAGAAAGTTCGTACAGAAAATTGAAGCACAGTGTCTAAGCCAGCCTCTGTGGGGGTAGGGGGAAAGAATGGGTGGAAGGAAGATAATAGATTATGTGGATTGGAGCGGAAAACAAGAACCACTGACGGAAGAAGATG